TACGCTTAGTGTCATAACGTCCAGCATGACATCCAACTTACTTTGTGCTAGCTTACTAAACTTACCCTGTAGAGCACTTCTGCAGAATCTTCTTCATAACAGTAGAAACAAATATATTATAGTTTCCTAAAAAGTCTTAGAGATCCTTTTTATGAATATCAATTAAATATGCACTTTGTTTCTAAGAACTCTCTTTGGCATGCACTTACTGATGAGGTATATTCAACAAGATCTCGTCAAACCAAACCACCTCTGTTATGAGATATAAAATAGCAGCCCCTGATGTACCAGACAACGATGTCATGAAAGTCAGTATGACATCTATGACAGTAGTTCTGTCATCAGCTCCTGCTGCACCAGACAGCCATGTCATGACATCCAGTATGACATCCATGACAACATTTCTGTCATCAGCTCTTGTTGCATCCATGACAGCAGTTCTGTCATCAGCTCCTGCTAGCTCCTATTGCATCCATGACAACAGTTCTGTCATCAACTCCTGCTAGCTCCTACTGCACCAGACCTCGATGTCATGACTTTGGCAATGACATCAGTGTAGGATCATGTTTTACCAAAATTTAGCCAATCATAGAACCATAGAATCATGATACTAATAGTATTAATCTGGTTGCCTTGTGGTTGGTGTCGTACCTCGAAAAATACGATCCTCGCGATGGCCGCGGAAAATACTGTTCGAAACAGAGTCGCCACCGAACTTTATTCATTCCAAGGATGGAATAGGAAAATATCGATAAAACCGTTAAAGAGATAAGAACATGGTCGTCGCAACCAATATTCTAGGTTCGGGAGTCGGTTACGCAGAGGGAAGGTATTAGCACCCTCTACGTCCGTTGTACTCAACGGGAACCTCTTGATCGATTCGAGAGTAAAGTTAACTATGCTTGTTTGTTTTCTTCTAAGGTTTCTCCTATAGGGGGAATGGATGGTTATAGGATAGGGTGCTCGCCAAGGATTGGGGCCCTTGTGCCTACGTATCTTCACTTATAAGAAGTGGAAAATCAGAGCATTCGTAGTTCGTGGGACTACGGGAAAGAGAGGGGATTTTGCTCTCCAAGATCGTCGCAATCTTGTGCCTACGTATCTTGCATTCGAAAGTGAATGAAGAATCAGAGCAGCCGTAGTTCGGCTAACTACGGTAAAAAGGGGTGGTAAACGAACGAGTGTTTAGGTCGCATTCTAACTGCTAAACGTTGGCTTGTCTGCTCGCTAGGGGAGGCTGAAGCACGAGTTTGTTATGCGCGGAAGAAGGGACTAAACAATGTTCTTGACAAAAGGTGTTTTGGTTGGAAATCGCACGAGGGCGAGGAATTTGTGTTTATCGTATTGGATGTTTTGGTCAGAAGATATATTTGAATAGGTTTAAGGTTTCGATTGCACGGGGGAAAGAAAGAGGAGTTTAGTTAGGTAATTTGATGGAGAATGACGACTATTCGATAAACGAGCCGTCAGCCTCGCAATCAATTAATCGGGATATCATTGGAATGTTAGATCCCAATGATACCTTTTCATTCGAATAATTACGAAATATGTTTGAGAAAGGTCAATCGCACGGGGGCGGGAGAAGAGAGTTGGGTTGAATATTTTAAGGGAGAATGACGACTACTCGATAAACGAGACGTCGACCTCGCAATTGATTAATCGGGATATCATTGGAATGCTAGATCACAATGATACCTTTTTCATTCAATTAATTATGAAAATGTATTTGAATAACAATATTGGTCCAAGTAGTTAGGGCACGTGTTTTATAAACGAAAGGTTGAGCGAACCACAACCTAAAGCGTACGCCTTAAGAGTGGTTACTCAAGAATTCAAGGAGTGCGAGACTCCAAGAACTCAGTTCTTTCGCAATTTAATTAAGAAAATGGTTTGAATTTGACGTATGGTTTAGAGGCATACTAGGGTTTAGACTCGACCGTACGGAGGTGAGAAACGAGGTTAGAGAGGTTGTATGCTTAGGAGGAATGACGACTATTTGATAAGCAAGACGTCGGCCTTACAACCAAATCAATCGGGACACCATTGGAATGCTCGATCCCAACAATACCTTTTTCATTCGAAATGTGTTTGATGGATAGTTTAGACGCGAAAGAGTTTAAATTGAAGGAGATTTTGATTCAATCACACGAGGTTATGCGGGTGAAAATTTGGGAGGAATGACGACTACTCGATAAACGAGACGTCAGTCTCGCAACCAATTAGTCGGGATATCGTTGGAATGCTAGACCCCAACGACCTCTTTTTCATTCCATTAATTATAAGACATGTTTGTTGGACAGTGAAAGTACTTGTCCAAATAATTAGAGGAGGTATTTTAGAGACGAAAATTCGAACGACACACCATTCAAGGCGTACGCCTCAATAGTAGTCACTCTCGAATTCGAGGAATGCGCAACTCCAGGAACTCGATTAATTCGTGATTTAATTATGGAAACAAAATTAGGAATATTAGCGTACTCGGACTAGGCGTGCTATGCACTCTAGAAAATAATATCGAAAGGGTCACAACTCGAGGTGTGCACCTCGAGAGCGGTCGCTTAAAAAATTCAAGGAAGGCGAGATCCAAGAATTTAATTTTTGAAATTTGTTTTAGGAAGGTTGTATAATTTAATTAAGAAAAAATAGTTTTAATTTTCATATATAAGAATAAATTAATCAATTGTTTATAAAAAAGATTTTAAGAAAAGCTAAGTATAATTAATTGTTTTTGAAAAAAGTTTAATATCTTAGAAAAATATTTTAACTTTAATAAAGTATAATATTTTAAAAGTTAAAAAATATTTATTTGGTAATAGTTTTAGGATTTATAAAAAAGAATAATTTGAATTTCTCATTAAAATATCTATTTAATAAAAGTTGTTTTTTTTTTTAAAAATTTTAATTGAGAAAAAAAAACAATTTGGAAACAGAAAGACGGAACAACCACAACTCAAGGGCGTGCGCCTCGAGAGCGATTGTTCAAGGACTCAAGGGATGCTAGACCCCAAGAGTTCACTACTTTCATAATTAATTGAGAAAAATATTTTATTGATGTTTTAATTGGCAAAAAAAAAACATGACCTGAAATTAGTTGACAAAATTTATAATGTTTTCAAAACCGATTTGTTCATAATGGCAATGTAATATCATATGTGACTATCGAGTTACCGAAAAGATGAAATTAAAAATAAATAAATAATAATAATAATAATAATAATAATAATAAAACTACATTTGGATATGAAATGGGTGACGTGAGTGCTGTGTGTAAAACTAGCAGCAAGAAACATTTTGCACTTGATTATTACTCATGATGACTCATATAAGAATGTTTTTACAAAATCATACACTAATGCAATCACATGAATTAGAACCAATAGCTACAATCATGCTTCTACTTATGAAGTTAATACAGGGTTTAACAAACTTCTATCAAAACAGTGGCACTGTTACTGACATAATCATATACTGAGCATTATCATAACCGGCCTGAAAGAATTAAAACAAAAACCAACATCCTAGTACCACAGCAATCCAACGACATAAACAATGAACACGCAAGTAGCGACGAAATCAGAACCGCGACAAAATCAGAACCGCAACATTTGAATCAATTTTGCAATAGAAATTAAAACCAGCAAAATAGTAGATGCGTATTGCAATAAAACAGTAGCAGCAGTGATACATTCACACAAGTTAAATCCTGATTTCAGTTGCAATATAAAACATTTTTCATCCTCTTCTTACATGAATATGCGGAAGTCGATAATGTTCAAATACGAAACAAAAACAATGAAAGTGCAGCATACAATTCTATACATTTTGTAGCATACAGTCTACGACATACATACCAGTTTCATAGGATATCACAGCAAGCCATTCATAAAAGAAAACATAAGTACAATAGCATATTTACAAACTAGAACAATGATCTAAACACCTAACACATTTACAGGTCTTGCTTCTAAAACTTAACCAAATACTTGCAAACAGAATGCCTAACGTGTGTAAATGAGTCTTAACCATAAAATGAACATATTCAACCATAGAGGATTTTTGAGTCGTTACCGCAATGTCAAGTAGCGCTGCTGCATCTTGTTGGTGTCACGAACAGGACATAAAATTGAGTAGTTTCTGGGTCGTTTGTCGCAAGGTTTGAATCAAAGCTGAGTTGGGACTTCTTTGGTTGCTGCGGCTAAGGAACTTTAATGTCGCCACCGCGAAACATGAGCCATTTTTGCCTTGAGTTGCCGCTGGTGCTGATTCTTTCTTCTCAGTTTTTTCGCAGACTTCTCTTCTTATCATCAAGTTCCCCCACCCCAGCATCTCAATAGCCTTTCACCTGCATGACGAGCAGAAACAAGCGTTCGAGCCATCCGCACAGTTTCACTACCACTGCTTTTTGGTGGTAGCCTGCTGCTAATTTCATCCAAATTCAATGGGGCAAGCCCATCATCAATCACAGCCCGAGCTAAAAAAAGTGCAAGCTCATTGGAAGCATCCAATATATCCAGTGTCGTATCTTCTGTGTTTTCCAGAAGCAAGACAAAACCATTAACTATATCCTCCGTTGAGAATATCTCTTTATGAAGAGCAGATAGTAAGACAGATGCCATCTCCTTTTCTCTGTTCTTTCGGTCCAAAGCAAGTGTTATTAGCCTCTTCAAAAATACTGAGTTATTAATCAATCCTCAACTCATCTCTATCTCCATAAACCGACACCAGCTCGCCGCAGTTGCCGCAGAAGTTGAGTTTGCCATCATGACGAAAACTAGATCAAACTTAAATCTGGACTTCAAGCTCTCACCCTGCACATAAACAGACACGCAACCAAACAGACCAAAAGAAAAAACGCATGAGCCGAGACGAAGAAAACAGGGCTAATGATAGAAATGCAACCCTTGTGAGTGTGGCTACAAAGTCGGAGAGGCGTGAGCCTATATTGTGTAGCTGTTGTAGAAGATGTCGATGCCGATCTATAACCGAAACGAGGCCCCGGACTAAACCTCACCTATGCTTTTGACCATCTCACAATCACGTCCGTACTCTCCTGTTAAACGTAAAACACGTCTTCGAAAATCCAAATGCACAAAAACATTACAGGTTAAACTACACAAAGTATGAATGATAGAGACAGTAACAGTTTGTCTCATGTCCCTCACAGCAAAACGTCCAAGAGGAGGATACTCAGCAAAAGTTTCCACCACCATGGGCTTGGTGGGAACCATCTTAACCATACCTGCATCACCATTCTTCAAAAACTTGGGCTCCTTCTCAATTTCCTTACCAGATCGCCTGTCAATCTTGGTGATAAGTTCAACAAACTTCACAGCAATGTGAGAGGTGTGGCAGTCGAGCACTGGTGCATAACCGTTTCCAATCTGTCCAGGATGGTTCATGATGATGACTTGGGATGTGAAGTTGGCAGCTTCCTTGGCAGGGTCATCCTTGGAGTTGGATGCAACAAAACCACGCTTGAGATCCTTGACTGCAACATTCTTAACATTGAATCCGACATTGTCTCCTGGTAGAGCCTCAGTGAGAGCCTCGTGGTGCATCTCAACAGACTTAACCTCAGTTGTCAAACCAGTAGGAGCAAAAGTAACAAGCATACCGGGCTTCACAACACCAGTTTCAACACGTCCCACTGGCACAGTTCCAATACCACCAATCTTGTAAACATCTTGCAATGGAAGCCTTAGGGGCTTGTCAGAGGGTCTCTTGGGCTCGTTGATGTTGTCAAGAGCATCAAGGAGAGTTGGTCCCTTGTACCAGTCAAGGTTGGTGGACCTCTCAATCATGTTGTCTCCCTCAAAACCAGAGATGGGAACAAATGGAATTTTGTCTGGGTTGTAACCAACCTTCTTCAAGTAGGAAGAAACTTCCTTCATGATTTCCTCATACCTTCCCTTGGAGTACTTTGGGGTAGTAGCATCCATCTTGTTACAACAACAGATCATCTGCTTCACTCCAAGAGTAAAAGCAAGAAGAGCATGTTCACGGGTTTGTCCATCCTTAGAGATACCGGCTTCAAAACCACCAGTGGTGGAATCGATAATAAGGATAGCACAATCAGCCTGGGAGGTTCCGGTAATCATATTCTTGATAAAGTCACGATGTCCGGGGGCATCAATGATTGTGCAGTAGTACTTGGTGGTTTCAAATTTCCACAAGGCAATATCGATGGTAATTCCTCTTTCACGCTCAGCCTTAAGCTTGTCGAGCACCCAGGCATACTTGAATGAACGCTTGTTCATTTCAGCAGCTTCCTTCTCAAACCTCTCGATCACACGCTTGTCAATACCACCAAGCTCGTAGATCGAGTGACCAGTTGTGGTTGATTTTCTAGAGTCGACATGTCCAATAACAACAATGTTAATGTGAACCTTTTCCTTACCCATGATGTCTTAACTTAGCAGAAACGGAATTGAAGTATGTCACTCGTTCGAAATCCTCAGCCGCAGAGAGAGACTGAGCAATCGAGAATAAGTTTTGAGAGGGAAGGAGAAGAAGAGATGGGGTTGAACGGTGGCGGAGATGAGAGGGTGGGTGGTTGCGGCGCCGATTTGGGAGAGCGATGAATTAGGGTTTTTGGGGATGAATTGGGGATGGTTTTTTTTTAGGGTTGCCCTTCAGAATTAGGGGCGGCCGTTATCTTTTTAGGGTTGTGAACAGTATCTCTTAATTCTCTAGGGTATGGTGAGCAGTAGTCCTATTTATCCCCAAAACTAAACCTAATTCCAACGTGTCCTCTCATTCAGATTTTTTTCTTTTTTTTTTAATATTTTCTTTTAATTCTAAACTAAATTAAAAACTTATTTTCTATTTAATTAATTCTAACTATTAATTATAATTTAAATCTAAACTAATTAATTAAACTCTAATAAAAATTTTAAAATAAATCCTAATTAAATTCTAACTCTATTTTTTTTTCTATATTTTTTTTAAAATTAAAATTTTCTAAATTATAATTAAGCTCTAAATTAAATCTATTTAATTAAAACAATTAAATTTAAATCCTAATTTCTAATTCAAAACTAATTAAAATAATAAAAAGACAATATATTAACCTATCACGAGAAAAATGAAATTATATAAAAAAACAGGTATATATATAAAAAAACAAATGCCACGTGGCATACCCTTATTGGGCTAAAAAAGCGAAAATGCTCGTTTTTGCTGAAAAATACGCTACGCTGTATAAGCGAGGTAAATTAAAAACAAAGTCGGGTAAATGAGAATTTTTTAAAAAGGTAGGACAAATTTGGGGTATGACAGATGCCCCTATCTAATTGCCTTGAACCTGAGAGAATGAACAACTGCATGACGTTCATTTTCAAGGTGGAAGTCAATTAGATACAAAAAAGACCCCGAAATTTGTCCGACAAGCAAGTAAAAATGCAAAGAGATAGGATATACCTGAACGGGATGACAAGATGCAAAATAGATGAACGAGATAACCTGATATTCCCTGGGTGGTCGAAGCAGTCCCTTATCCAATAAGGTTCTTCGCGGTACCAGAGTGGTATAAATGATCTTCTTTGGGTGGTCAAAGCAGTCCCTCCTTCGTTAAGGTCCTTCGATGATACCAAAGCGGTACAAATGATCCTCTTTGGGTGGTCAAAGCGGCCCCTCATTCGTTAAGGTCCTTCGATGATACCAAAGCAGTATCTCGAACAAAACTTGAGATTCTTCGAGTGGTCGAAGCAGTACCTTTTCCATTAAGGCTCTTCGATGATACCAAAGCAGTATCTCGAACAAAGCTTGAGATTCTTCGGGTGGTCGAAGCAGTACCTTTTCCAATAAGGCTCTTCGATGATACCAAAGCAGTATCTCGAACCAAAACTTGAGATTCTTCGGGTGGTCGAAGCAGCATCTTATCCAATAAGATTCTTCGATGATACCAAAGCAGTATCTCTGATCAAAACTTGAGATTCTTCGGGTGGTCGAAGCAGTCCCTTATCCCATAAGGTTCTTCGATGATACCAAAGCAGTATCTCTGATCAAAACTTGAGATTCTTCGGGTGGTCGAAGCAGCATCTTATCCAATAAGATTCTTCGATGATACCAAAGCAGTATCTCTGATCAACACTTGAGATTCTTCGGGTGGTCGAAGCAGTCCATTATCCCATAAGGTTCTTCGATGATACCAAAGCAGTATCTCTGATCAAAACTTGAGATTCTTCGGGTGGTCGAAGCAGCATCTTATCCAATAAGATTCTTCGATGATACCAAAGCAGTATCTCGAACAAAACTTGAGATTCTTCGGGTGGTCGAAGCAGTACCTTACCCATTAAGGCTCTTCGATGATACCAAAGCAGTATCTCGAACAAAACATGAGATTCTTCGGGTGGTTGAAGCAGTACCTTATCCATTAAGGCTCTTCGATGATACCAAAGCAGTATCTCGAACCTAACTTGAGATTCTTCGGGTGATCGAAGTAGTACCTTATCCATTAAGGCTCTTCGATGATACCAAAGCAGTATCTCGAACAAAACATGAGATTCTGCTGGGGAATAGTTGAGCTAAAATTCCTATTTAAAGGAACAACGTTGTCCAATCTCTGCAGGGGAGAAAGCCATCAAGAAACTCTCTAAGATAACCTCTGCTTGGGGAGCCACCAGAGCAATAGTTGCTGGGGATCATCATCGTCAACTACATGGTTGAAGACTGACTTGCTGGGGAGTAGAATTCCCTGAACTCGTGGGGTATTAACTCTTTTCAGAGTCATACTGCCAACTTCATTGGAGGACTGACCAAGATGCTCGCGAACTGATCCTGGATCCTGCTACATTGCTATGTAATGCAATGTTTTATAATGCCCAAACATGCAACTAAGGTGCGACTGCTAGGGAGTGCAAGATGCGAATACAAATGATATGCTAATGCTTGATATGACTGTGATATGATGTGATATTGTATGTCGTGCTTATGATAATGCAAATGATCAGGTACGCTGGGGATAAATCCTTGTTGGGAACATCACTAGGGATTGGATTCGGTAGCCGTCAAATGGTTTGGACTTTGGTTATTGAGGATGCCAACGAGGGTGGACTTTTAGTGGTTGCCAATGAAGACTGGACTTTTAGGGTGAATTGAAGGTGCCAATTGGAGTGGCTTTTTGTGGTTGCCAATAAAATATTGGACTTTAGAATGATTTGCCAGACGAGAACGGGACTTTGAAGGATTTGTTTCGGTTACAAAGCTCTGACAGGTATCAGGTCCAGGCCGTGGGGGTGAAACCCAAAGACAGAAAGGCTTTTTCAGGAAGTTAAGGTTATTTGGTGGGGTGATGGCATGATTCCCCGACACTCAACTTTTGCTGACGAGAATAAACTTGCTTGAGTAACTGCCCCAATGTGGTTCAACTTGCCCTAGTTTGGGTCTATAAAGGAATTTTCCTTGAATGGAAATTGGAAGCAATCATACCATGAGACGAACTCGAGATGGCTTGCCCCAGCATTCCAAGTCGTGAAAGGAAGTTGGAAACAGTTGTACCATGAGATGAACTCGAGATGGCTTGCCCCAACATTCCACATCGTGAAAGGAAGTTGGAAACAGTTGTACCATGAGATGAACTCGAGATGGTTTGTTCCAAAACTCCAAGTCATGAAAGGAATTCGGACGCAAATATACCATGAGACGATCTCGAGATGGTTTGTTGTAAATTTTAGTCAGGAAAGGGTTTTGACCTTGATTAACTGACCCTTGGGGTAATTGGCTTCAAATTGTTCTTGAGGTAGTTTGCTTCAGAATGAGCGTTGAAGCGACATGACTTGTGCTGATTGAGCGCTGGAGGGACTCTCCCTTAATCAAAACGAAACTCTGGGTAGCCTGTCCCTTGTTGGATCCTTTGCAGAAGTGGTATACTCGTTCTGGTGAGAACCTAGCTTCTAGCTGATATACCATGACAGCTTACAAACATTGAGCGTAGCGGCTCATCCAGAGCATTTTGACTGTGCGAGCATAGCGACTTAACCAATGCGTGTTAATCGTACGAGCGTAGCGATTTAACCAATGCATATGGATTGCGTGAGCGTAGCGACTTAACCAATGTGTTTGGGTTGCGCGAGCGTAGCGACTTAACCAATACGTATTAGTCGTGTTTTTGCTCTGCCCCAAGGCCTTTGACGCTTGTTGACCTCCACCATAAGCTAGTTTGCCCCAAGTTCAACCAGTTTTCCCCAGTCTGCCGGGTGTTTGATGGACTTTCTTCTGGGATGAGAACTTTGGCGGTGATTATACCAGGATATGGCTTGAACCCCTTTGCCCCAGTGTTTGGGCCTTGTAGTGGCTTGCCCTAGTTTAAACTTCAGAAGGACTTGCCCCAGATTCGTAGGGTTAGGAGAAATTCTTAATTCAGGTCAACGCCAATGAGTGATCAAGTTCCTCTTTGGTGACTTCACTGGGGAATTTCCATTATGCCAATTACTAATTTTCCATTAGAATTGTTTATTCAAAAATGGTAATTTTAATGCGACATTCATGCAAGTTATGAAAATATCATTTATTGGGAATGATGTGAAAATGTGTGACGAGTGGGCTGTTAATCCAAACGCAATGTTGATTTAATTGGTGTGAAAGATATAGCAAGAATGTGACACCAATACATAAGATTAGCAAATATGTAGGAGTCAGTTTACGCAACCTTGCTATAGTATGCTTCCAGAATAAACCCGGCCTCAATTAGGTCTTTTGAGGGTTGTATCGTGGTCTGGTTCACGGTTATAGAAACAAAGGATATAAGGCTCAAAATTTGATTTTAACCCACCCTTTCTTCGTAATGATCTCCATACCTACGTTCAGTTAATTTTGCACCTGCTTGACGGTGTAAACTTGATGGTTCAAAGTTTGCTTGAAATGGAAGCCACCTTATTTTGATGGATGTCAGTGACTCTTTTGGTTCTTGATATGGTGGCCACTGAATCTTATTTGTTTTTTTTGTTGAGGATTTGAGGGCCTCTTTTGTTTTTGCTTCTGATCCCTAACTTTTGCGTGGACTAATCTTGTTTTTCGAGTCCATCGGGATTGCCTTTATTTTTGCCTAAGTCTCCTTTTGAGGTGTTCGACTTAGCAGGCTTTTTATTTCTTTTTTGTTGTTGGAGGATTTGTGACTGCCAAGTCATTGGTCATTGATGAACAACCGTCATGTCTTTTGGATGTTGTCTTGTGATTCGAGTGCGTAATCAGGTTAACTGAACACTACCCATTCCCTAGGTTAAATGTAAGGGTTTATAGATCCGAAGGAAACTCCTACTTCTAGGCTCAAAGTGGTTAACTAGGGGCTAACACCTTATCTCTCCAGTGTATGAGGGGTTGAATCAATGCCTGTACATCATCAGCAGGACTTTATCCAAAAGCATACTATCAGCAATTATGGGTATTATAGTTTCGTCATCCT